CCATAATTTGACAACCACCCACATGAATTGAAAGCCTCCCTGCAAGCCGCATACGTCCTGGAGGCCGGCAGGTTTCTGGCGGTGGTGCAAACGATGGCTATCAGCTGCCTCCTCAGGGAATCATCCCTGTAGAAAATATTCCCATATTCCGTTCATAACCCCAAGATATACCCTAATCCTCAACCCATTGTAGTAATTAGTTTCCATTTTATTTTCCATTGTCCCAATATTACCCCAATATAATCCTAATATAACCCCAACAGAACCCTAATATGGCCCTTATATAATCCTAATATAACCCCAATATGATCCCAATAGAACCCCATATAACTCCAATGTAACCCCAATATAACCCCAATATACTTTCAATATGACCCCCGTGTAACCCCAATAAACTCTCAATATAACCCCAATCTAACCCCAATATCATCCTAATATAACCCCAATCAAACCCCAATATAATCCTAATACAACCTTAATGTATTCTAATAGAACCCCCCAATATAATCCCAAAATATCACCCCAATATGACCCTATATAATCCTAATATACCGCCAGTATAACTGTAGGGTTCAGCCATGGAGGATGCATGCGAAGTCTGTACGGAAGCCTTGGCCTGAGTCCATCGCCACTTCCGTCACCAATGATAACGCCGAGACTCGCCCTCGGATCAAATCTGGCACCCATTATTGTTATTGTTGTATTCGCTGTTGATATTGTCTCAGTCGTAATATTTTTGTTATTCTTATTCATGTTATTCTTACTGTTATTGCTAGTGCTGTTCTTCTACATGTTTGCACGAATGTTTCAGGCCGTCCTCCCACGGAAGGCACCTTTCCGGCCTTCACAATGCTGGACAGTGGTGAGTCCGACTCGCCGGGCTTCAAGTCCACTTCGTGAAGTGTTCAGGCTGATGACACCATTTAGTCATGTCAAAGCCCTCGCGGCGCCCAGGTTTGATCATTTGTCTAGAGCAGCGAGTCCCGATGACCGAGCTGGCCTGGGAACCTAAAAAAGCAAGCAAGTGCAGCGATGCCTTCTGGTTCGTGGCACTCCCGCTTGAGGTTCATCCTCGCAGATGGACTTGCGCCCGATGAGCTCTGGCAACTTGCCTCAACGCTCGTGCACTGGGACACGGCAGGTGGTGAGGGGAAGTTCGACCATGTTCAACCAAGGTGAACAGTCCGGGCATGAAGACAGTCAGATCTTTGAAGCCAAGGCGTTCTATTGCGTGTGCGGCTCGCATCGCGCAAGTAGCAAGGCTTGGGTTGTAAGCTAGTAAAGTCTTTTTCTGTTTGCAGGAGGACAGCCAGGATGAAGCAATGGCCGCAAGAATACGAAGGCCGCGAGTAGGAGTCTCGAGCTGGAAGGAAATCAACCTCTGCCAGCATTTCGTTGGGCCAGGCGCGGCACAGCCGGCAGGTACAGGCGGTTACCTGCCCATCATGTGTTGCGTGAAGTTCCACCAAGTTCCGCTCTAGGAGCAGCCAATCCCGGGTCGCGGCGAAAGAGGGCTCAGGCCAAGCTTCGAAATTTGTTCACTTACGCTGGGAGTTGAACGTGTTGCAGGCAGCGACGCAAACAGCGGAATCTTTGCGATTCCCGGAAGAAGTGGTAGTGAGCTCATTTGATTTTTGCGTGGATTTTTGCAGGAGACTCTTGCAGTGCAGACCTAAGGCTTCCAGTGGCCTCCAAAGCTCGAAAAGGCCGTTGTCTGTGACCGCAAGCAGTTGCTGGGTAACAACTTGCTTTAAGCAGCTTGATGAAATCTTTGAACAGATCTGTTTGCATTCAAGAGGTGTTGACTTACACGTCTTGCACCACCCTCTTACCCGGAGGCGTTCTTCCGGCATCTTACGGTGGAACTCTGCGTTTACATCGACAAGCACTTTCCAGCAGCCGATGGACTCAGCTAAGGTACTGCCAATGCCAGAGTTACTAAAGGACAATACATAATCAAGGGTGCACATAGGGAGATCCCTCAGACAAATGGACGTAGCCGCATTACATGCCCCAAAACCAACATTATTAGCCCTAGGCTCCAAACCTTAACCAAATGGGGGTTTCCCTAAATTGGGGGGTACCTTTTTGGGGGTCCCTATAATGAGGATTATAGTATTTTGGGGTCTATTGTCCCCCTATTTTTTCGGAAACTACCAAATGTCATGGTTTGCTTGGGCCATGGACTGAGGCAGTGGCAGCAACAGCAATCGCTACCGTTGTTGAGGTCCAGTGAACCATGGTTTCAGAGCCTTCGCACAAAAAGTGGTTGATGTGGGCGTTTCCGAAATTCAGCTCTCCATAATAGAGATTATTGTAATTCATGGAAGCTGACATATTAATATCAGAATTCTGCAGTTCTTGGAAATCGAACTTTGGCCAGCCGTTCCTTAGCAAATATGATGTTGGCATCTGGGAATTCATATTCTTCTATGTCCATGATAAAACAACTCTGTTTCTGCAAAGAATGGACGTTCTTATCAAGCTGTTAAGGGCGAACATCCATTTTCTACAAGGATGAGGTTGAACTTCAATATGCATATATAGGGATTTCCAAAAATTAGGGGTACCATATTGGGGTCCCCATACTAAGGCCTATAGTATATTGGGGTCTATATTGGGGTCCCCCTATTTTGGGAAACTACCATATGATCAAACATACTGGGCTTTGAAATTGTGATGGCAGATGGTATTGAGAAATGGGTTTGGATAGGATTTGCTTGAGGCGAGATACGAATCTGGATAATTGGCTTAGGAATTACAAGCAACTGATTGAGCTTAAGAGTTCTATTGATGAGTTTTTTTGATATTCTCTTCCACTAATTATGAGATGATGAATTATCTAAAAGAACAGGCAGGAACCTAGTTTTCTTCTCATTATCCGTACTCTAAATATTTTAGTGAGTTAGAGATTCTTTAAGAATTGAAGAAAATTGTTTCGTTCTTATTAAGGAAGTTTCTCTCAACAAATAGAAATATTAACTAGGGCTGTTTGGAAATTAAGTTTCAGTTCACATTTGGATATGATATATCCCAATATTCGAATTGAAGCAAGCGAGAAAATTCTCCATTCTAGTTTCATCCGTTTTTCCAATTACTATTTTTTCAAGATAGCAATCAATTTCATATAGAGATGTGTGAAATTAATATTGTATTGATTTACATGGCGCAAGCGGGTCGAAACATACATTTGATAACATAACAAACGTTCAAATTTGACATAGAAATGAAAAAGAAAAATTCGCGAAGATGATTAAATCTAGAATTGAGATTTATAATGAATATATAAATACATATCTAGACACCACTAGAGTCGTGTCGAAGTCCAAGCTGCAAGGCTAGGGATCTGTAAGCTAGGTATGTGGTTTAGTGGAGGCCTAGAGGTCAGAGGCGAACAAAAATTCAATCCGTTAAAGAAGCTGGCACCCTTTTATTCGGCATGTGGGTTGTTCTCGAAATTATGGGCCCTTCTGGTTACAGAAAAATATTCTAGCACCTAATATTTGCATGGCTAGTATGGCAGCACGTTTTGCTTGAGCTTGACTCGGAAACATGGAACTTGGTCTCCACACGCCTGTCCATCCGTCATTCAATAGAGCATCCACCTGGTCTGAAAGCAGAGAAGCTGCATGTAAGGGAAGCCTAGCACGATGGGTTAGCACCATGACTTCCTCTGCTTGGCATTTGACGAGTTGCAGATCAAGAGAGGCTAGCTTTCCATACGCCATGGCGCATCAGCCAGCGTTCGCAGCTATGGCCACTCCGTTCACTCCCAGAGGGGCTACTTGGCGGAGTCCAGCCATGCCGTGTCGAGCATTGGCGGCGTTTGGGTGCCGAAGCAAGTACCACATGCCTGCAGGCCCGGGCCGTTTCAATTACGCGTACTACCCGCCGTGGGCCCAGATATCATCAATGACCTTTCATATGACTGGAGCGGGTAGTGAAACGCCTCAGGTCCGGTGCGCAGCCTGCCTGGGCCTCAGAGTCAAAGTCTTCCCAATCTTCAGCTCCGCCTCCCTCAGCCTTCCGCCCTCCTGAGGAGTCCCATCTTCTTGAGGACCACGTGCCCGCCCGTTTTGCGCGGCGTCGGGCTCCTAGCAGGGCACTTCAGCAACCTGCACCGGGTCTGAGTGGCAAAATGGTCCGAGGTCAGCAGGCTTCCACCTGAGACGGGCACCGGCGGAGCTCTCAAAGTGTATGCACGTGCACAAGCATCGCTACGTGCATCATTGCTGTTGCAGCTATGGCTGCTGTTCCGTGAAGATCCCGTATGAGCATCGAAACTGTTTTCCCCCGAAGGTCTTGCACAGCTTGAGAAGGTGCAACAGAGCTTCCGAGTCTTGAAAAGCCTGACCCTCAGGCCGACAAGGATCCCGGCCACCTCTTCCGCGCGTGCAGTCTCAGGCCGGTTTGGGCCGGGCCATGCTGGGATCGTTGGGATTTGGGCTCTCACATTCTTAGCTCCACTTTTGGAACACATGTTTCTGCAAATGATGCTGTGAGCTCAGCTGCGGATCGGAGGGTAGTGCTGAAGTCCGTGAGTAATCCCGAGTTACAATGGCAACCACAAATTTGCTGGTTGGATTTAGAGGTGCCCTTGGGCCTCGACAAGTTGTAATGAGGATTGTGGCTTCGTGTGCGAAGGGTGGGTTTGCTTCACCATCTTCATCTGCCTCCTGAGTTCATGACGCCTCGGCGCGTCCGTGTCAACAATGTCCGCAGCTGCGTCGGAGCCTGTGTTGTCCCATGCTGCCCTTGAGAGGATAAATCATGCCCCGCCCTGAGGCAGACTTCAGCCCGCCGAAGCAGGTACGGAACTCTGATTGCAGGAAGCATTGGCTTCGTGATTTGGTGCCAGCAGCAATGAACAGGCAAGGATGGGCCAACCTACACCGCGCTGACCCTGGAGGGAGCAAGATCTCGATTTTCTTTTCAGTAGCTCTAGCCGCTCTAGCTGGGTCTACAGGGGACCTGGTTGGGGAGCTATCAACAAGAGCAGCACAATCTCCAATAATGAGCAAGATCCGGCTTCACATCTTAAAGGGGACGTAGGGCTTGCCAGAGTTGGATTCTGGAGGACATGGTGAGTTTTTGGATCCACGCGAGTAGCAAGATGTCCGCCAGTGAACAAGACCCGATCCAGTTTGACATCTCAAAGCAAGCCGCAGAGCAGGCATGAGAATGCTACAAATAGACTTGGGAGGACATTGTGAGATTTCTGTAGTGCATGCAGCTCTTCCCCTAAAGCATGTCAAGGTGTTGTGATAGGAAGCGGGGAGTGCGTTCATACACGGCGAGGAATGACTTAATCTGCGTGGTGGTCCCAAGAACCTATTCTCAACTAAGCATGAAATAGACTAGAATGACAAAAGCACAGAACTCGGGAGTCTGAGGCCTTCGTCGTCAGCGGCGCCTTGTGCAAGAGTTCCCTCCAAGGCTCGAAGAAGACTGCATATTTGAATTACCTCCTTTACTTGACGCTGCCAGAGACAGCTAGGGGCGTGCAGTTCTTGCTTTGCACCTATGCTGGGTGCAGAAGGCCAATGTGCCATCGGAAGACTCCTGGACTGAAGTGGCGCAGGAGGAGCGGGAGAGGGAGAGGGCGGAGAGGGGGTGAAGGTTGGCTGTGGTGTAGGGTCTGAAGCCGCGGCGTCAGCAGAGCTCAGGC